TGCAGCGGCTGGCTGCAGCCTATCCGTGCACTCCCCGCCCCTAAAAACATACTGCTACTCCAGTAACATAGCCCTACTCCAACATTTTTTCCCCAAGAATTCCAAAGTACTTAACATGTCTTAGTATTACAAGCCTCTGTTAATTGTTATTAGAGCAAAAGATGTGGAAAACTGAGGCACAGTACAGTTAATTAGCTTGCCCAAGGACATACACAAAAGTATATGAAAGGTCCCAGGACAAAGTAAAATCTCATGTGACATCACTGCAAAAAGCCACGTCTATGCCTCCGTTTCCTATATCTCCATTTGAATTAATGTTTTCTACGGTTAAGCACAGCAGCCATATCTTATACCTAGTGTATAAGATTTGCGTGCATGCAAGTCTGTGCACAAGACAATTCAACAGCACACACATCCCTCTGTTCTTCCACAGTCAGCATCTTAGAAGGCTTCCTTTTTGCTCTTCTACCTTCCTTGAACCTTCTTTTTTAGATTAGTAGAATCTACTTGCCTTGCTGTTATCAGTCTTAAAATAATTAAATATATTTTTTTAAATGAGTGGCTAGACCATTCTAAAAAGAAAAAATGGTGCCAAGAGACAGGTGGGCAGTTGCAAGCCAGCTTCCATGTATGCATCTGCAGCACAGCAGCACCCAAGCAGTTCTGTCACTGCCCCTCCAACCTGAACTACAGCATTCTCTGCTGTTCCAGACTGTAGACTGGCAGTTGTGCCAAACTGCTTTTATTCATGCAGTGAAGAAGCATTTTTTGGAGAACTTGGGCGTGAATGGAAAATTCATTAGGTTTGTTTGTGACCCAAGCAGTAAGCAGCAGTTTAAACAATGAATGAAAGGAAGACACAGCTTGTTAAGGACTCAATATATTACTGGTTGACAACTTAAATGAATTTTTCTGGTTTGCATGAAAATTAGGACTACAGTCTTATTTGTCAACACTACATCTAAAAGGGATTCTGAGCCCACACATGAAGAAAGAATTCCCATTCATCCCATTCTACCCAGGAGAACTTTTACAATCTTTTCTCCAATGCCTGATGATGGGTTTTTGTGCCCAAAAGCTTGCAATTAAAGAATTTTTTTTTTGCAAAAATCTTGTTGGTCTAATAAAACATATCATCTCTACTATGAGTCCCGACTGCTTTTTCCTCTAAACCAATATGGCTACAACCTGGATACCATTCATCCTCAGCATTTCTACCCACTTGCTATTGGGCTAAAGCTGCTTCTTGGGCTAAAATCAGACTCTCTCTGGAGACAAAGCCTTTTATCCCGGGATCCTACAGCTATACGAGCCCATTGTCCCACTCTAAGCAAGTATGAAGTATCCAAGATATCATCCCGCCTCCCCTGTACAATCATGACTCAAGTTAATTGCCATTCAACCTGCATGCGTACATGCATGCACAGTTGTCCTTAGCCAGTTTTGATGCACATCAAAACCCAGGATAAACCCAATTTCTGTTTTCACATTTGGATAGCATCACCCCCTACTAAGACAAGAGATAACTGGGTACCTCTGTATAACAAAAAGAGTAAGAGGGAAATCTCAGGAAAGCATAACAAAAGATAACAAGGGCTGGATTAGTTAATCTATGGTGAAAGATTAAAAAGGATGTTAAATGAATTTGGCTCAAGCTTTAAAAAAAATAAAAGAGCCCAAATAAAATGATTATGAAAATATTTTCACACCAATGGATATAGTTTGTATTCTTATGAGAAAACATTCCCTGCTGCAGTGTTTAGGCTGCACCTCCAACACTTCGTTGGTGATTAAGAAATGTGAAATTTGAGTGGAATAAAAAGAAAAGGAATCCTGTACACTGCCTTTGTGGTCCAAAACAGATTGGAGCAGAAAGAAAACATGCTGCCTACTTTACTTATTTGATAACATTCTTTGTCAAA